TGTTATCTATTTTTAAGTCAAAAAGATATCTTCTGTATGTATTTTATAAGACTATCGAAAAACCATGTATAGCTATTCCTATTTTCATTAAGGTCTTACCTAATAATTTACAGATTTCCTAAGTTACGTTGTATTAATCTGTTTGTGAGTTTATTTCAATCGTAGTCGAATAGCCAACGCCATAAAGTATTAATTACTTGTCAAAAGGAGGAAAACAATTTACTTATTTCACAGACACTAAATAATATATTAAATAAGATTTTACAAGTTGATTACTAAAACTAGTTGCTGCAGTGGCGGAATACAATTCATTATCCTAAACCCACCATTAGCATCACTATCCAGTATGGTAGCGCAGCTAGGAAAGCCTAATAGGGCTTTTTATACTCCTATCAATGAGGAGACCGCCTCTACAGCCAAATGGTTAATCGTATTGCCTTGCATTGAGTTAAGCGCGAGAGGTTCTGGGTTCGAATCCCAGGAAAATAAAAATTGTTTCGGTCGAGCAGAACACAGTCTCATCAATTACTTGCCTGTTAAAGAACGGATCAGTGAAACGGACACAGAAATGTGTTCGCCCCATGCCCCACGAGGGGAAACGGGATTTCACACTATCAATGAGAAAAAATTCCGTACCGAAGGGTCGTGTTTATAACATATTCTTATAATGTATTTATATTTTTTTCAGAAACATATTGGATTTCGTAAAAATCTTGATATTAAATGAATAATGCGAATAACAAAATTCCGTTTTTTGTAATTTCTGAAACGGGTTCCAGGTCTCGAACTACCGATGATGATGATATTTCGGAATATCTAAAGCCTAAATAGGTCGACAGCGTACTTTCTGAGATGTTATATATAGCTGGGGTATTCAATATATATATATCAATAGAACCCCATGTTTGTCTATATCACAAAAATATATCTCATGATGTGGACTCTAGACCTAACCCACCCGGAATTGTCGCTCTAAAATCTAAACGATATGAAATGTACCATTTCCTTTAGTTCTGTGCGTTTGAGATATTGTGACAGGCACGATTGTTCCGATTTGACTTATGACTGGCAATAATAGGTGCATTGATAAACGATTGTGATAAGGCACGAAAAACCGAACGAATCATTGTGGCTTTGGTAGCCTAAGTGACGCCTGAGGCTCGCAACTTTGAGTGGTCGATAAGTAGGCCCAGAAACTATGTTTTAAGCTTAGAATTATTGCTTTCGACTTATCTTTTTACGCCTTTTTAGCAAATATGGCGTTGTTGTGCGTGTATAGTATAACTACAGCGCGACGTTTCGGATGCTTTGCAGCAGCTTAAGTTAGGCTTAAGTGTACGTAGTTAAAAATATTTTTCCAAACAAGTTTAACTAAAATATATCGTGTTTTAAACAGTTAAAGTGTTTTATTTAAATGTATACTACTCGCGTAAACTACAGACAATATTAAATCAACACTTGCTTTTGCTTTTGGTTTAAAATGCGCAAAGTATATATCAGTTAACTAAGCCGAGTGTTTGCAGGCGAAACGTTGGGCTATAACTCGAATAAATTATAAATAATTTAACTAAAATATTCTTCGTGTTTTACACCGTTAAAAAGAGTGTTATTTAAATACAAATAAGTTCTTAACTTGTAAATCGAGTTTAAGTAAAAAAAATAAAAATAAATACCCAGTTTTTCGAATATATTTGTTATTACAATATCTTTCCGATCTATTACACGAATTACAATACTGTTACCCAAAAATCAGATACCGACGTCTCTTGTAAACACGCTGTCTAACATGTGCTGATAAGAAAACATGGAAAGTGTCTCCGTTGTATCGAAATGGCGTATAATTAAGGCGGTATTGCCTGTCGCTATTACTTCCGAAGTTACAAACTAGTATTTTAGGGTTCCGTAGCCAAAATTCACGTCACCATTCTATAAAAGATATAATGATTATTTTCAGGGACACAAATTTCACACTATCGTGAGGTTAGCTTTCATATATATACTTTTAATTTACATTCTCAATAAACAACTACGATATGTGACACTAAGTTTTGAGTATTATTTTTACTCGTTTTCAAAAGACAAACGCCGCGACATAGTCTTCACTGTAGGTTCTTTAGTATTCAATTCTAGTTAAGTAAACATACTCTTAAATCCTTATGTAAGTTCAGCTTTTTGCAAATTGATTTTTACAGCAGCCCGTGGTCACTTTAATGGTCTATATTTTGCGTTTGAATCAGTTTAAAGTGTTTTAATGTTCAATAGAGACACATACATTCAGTGAATCAATTTTATAAATGAATTCGTGTTATAGCTGACTTGGAATTAAACTTTTTTATTTGGATAAAACACTTTGACGGTTTAAAACGCGACATATTTTAGTTAAACTTGTTTGAAAAATATTTTTAACTACGGCCCCATGCTTTACAGCAGCCGTGGTCACGGAGACTAGAGATGGAAGATGTCACTGAAGTCAAAGTAAAAAACTTGTTCAGCCGAAGTTGGTATTTGTTTAAAATAATTTTCAAACAAGTTTAACTAAAATACATCGCGTTTTAAACGGTTCAAGTGTTTTATTTAAATGTGTACTACTAGCGTAAACTACAGACTACATCGGACAAACTAAATTGGAAGAAATTGGTACGGAACCCACAATGCGAATGCGTAACTCACGCTTCATCATCTATTTGTCACAAACGTTATTTAATACTACCAACTGCTAAGGTCGACCGAGATTGTATATCTTGTATATCTTTGCTTGAACGTGTTAACAATGTTTAATGAGTTTTGTAAACCTACGCTATTTTTCACAATTTGAGGTTATAATGTCTTATATGCAATTAATATTATCTTAATGACCTTAATCTAGACATGAACGATAACATTTACTAAGGAATATGGAAAGATTTAAAATATGCCCACGAAAACGTAACTATTAAGTTTTTCCATTTAAATGTGTAATACTCACAAGTACTGACAACTCTTTTTTATATAAAAATGTACAGAGTCGATTGCCATTATTAAAAAATGAAATTTCCTAGACTACAGTACTTTTTGGCCTATGTTGAACAACCGACTTAAGATGTAGACGGGGCGAAGGTATGCATGGAAACTACGTAAAAATGTTTTTTTAATGATAAGAGAGGACAAGCAAGCACGGAGTTCACTTAATGGTAGGTATACCACAGCCTATAGCATCTAAATAAGATGAAACCGAAACGCGATTAAGCTTCACGGCTTATCATCGGTGGATGGTGGTCTGTGATCTGGCCGGAATTTATATATTCCTACCACCAATTTAATATCCACATTTCAAGACGAAGTCCAACACGTTTCAGATAAATTAGAGACATGTTGGACGCGGTGGGGATCGAACTCTCGACCCGTTGATTATTGGCCATCACGCCATCACTGCTACCATTAGACCAACGAGCCCGTCAAATTCATTAATCATTACTAATATTGTAAATACGAAAGTAACTTTGTCTGTCTGTCTGTTACTCTTTTTTAAATTTGGTATACTATGGTCTAGACCCTGAAAAAGACATAGGCTATTTTAATTACGAAGAGGGGGTTGTAAGGGGTTTAAAGGGGGGGTTGTGAAAAGTTGTATGGAAATTCGTAGTTTTTTGTAACTAAAACTTTCTTCTTTGGCTTTTTGGGAGTAGGAGTGGGTGTGGGAGTGGGAGTGAGTGTAGGAGTTAGAGCTGGAGTGATGTGAGGTAAGAGTGTTGCGGCAAAATAGCACTTACAACATTGGCTACGTTAAATGCGCCCTTACATAAATTAATAAACGAACAAGTCACTATTCCACGCGGACGAAGTCGCGGGGTCAGCTAGTAGTGATTAAAACCTTAAAAATATTTAAGCACACTGTCATACTTGTAATTTTCTTTTATTAAAAACCTTCCAACTTTGGTAAGAGGTTTATAAATCTTAATTACATAGATGTTTTACTTAAAGGAAACACCATATTTGTTTGTCTATTTGCTGCTTTGCTATTGCTATTATCTGTGGTATTTGCGCACTATATTTTAATATTATAACCTCAAATTTGAAACAGTGTACACTTTCAAAGATGTAGTAATCTCGGTATTACTTGCAAGGTACACGCAACAATCGGTGCTAAATACAGGTAAAATATTGTACAAATATTGCAGTCTCACGATTCGTACATAAGCAGTTAGAGAGAAAATGATGTTGGATATTCCATGCACATTATAATATCTTCAGCTCTTTATTTCAAAGTAACGGGAAACTATTCAATTATGATGTCTATAGCAATATTTCCGAACGAATATTCGCGTTTTAATCCGTCAACTATTCGTTTAATATACCACTCGCGCAAATTACACTACTTAACTATTCTTGTTTTTGACCTTCTAAAATCAAACTCCTGGGCATAGGCCTTATAATCGAAGGTTTTAAGACATGACCCACCACGCTGCTTAAGTCAGAGTTGCTGGCTTTTAACAGCAATCAGCGGCACGGGGATGACACCACCTCCGACACTCTGAGTTATTACTACGAATTGTCTTAGAAAAATTTCACATACAAAAATAATTTTTCGCCCGACCAAAGATCTGAACCTATATTTATGCACCTACAGGTCAAATTTAATTATTATATCTATGATGAAATTATTTGGAATGCCGACTGAAGACTTTTCGTTTTATAGAATCGAAACTCGCAAGTACATAAAAGTAATTTTTATATATTTGAAAAATCTTTACTTTCTAATTAATGTATTATTTTACTTAAGGATGTTTGTTGTCTTTATATTAAGTGTAATCTACACAATATACAAACCAATGAAAAGCTATTATAATACAAATATACTTCAATACGTTATTCCTCCTCAAAGGTCACACAGTGTTGTATAATTGTACAGTCGTGAACAAAACTTCAAGTGCAGTGATGACAATAGGCCAGTGCGTATGGACAGACAGACAAAAAAATGTGTTTGGCAAGATAATAATCGCAAATAATTAGGATGTGAAAACATGTTGGAATGCGTGCGTCGCGCAGCTACAGTGTTACGTGCGACGGAAACCGGACGAAATTGTTTTAGGCGGCTCCTGCTTTTGCTGCCGATTGTACTTCTATGTGTCAGGTGAGTGGACTTTATAACCCTTGAGATAGACGTACTTGGGGCCTCCTTTCCTTTTTAATATTTATAAATTTCGCATAGGTGTTAGTACTGTTGACATATGCTACAAAACTAAATCGAATTGAGCTAAATTGTTTTAAAAAAATTATAATATGCAATTTATTTACTTAACCTGTACTAATATTATAAATCTTGAGGGTTTCCTTGTTTGTTTAAACGCGGTATTCTCAGAAACGACTGGTTGAAAGTAAACATTATTTTTTTGGACCGATTATCAAATAAGGCTTTAAGCTATAAAACATCAGGTTGCGATTAATAGGAGCAAAGAAACAGAGGGAAGTATGGATAAAATTCATCTTTGTGGGCTTTTGTTGGGGGCGTAAAACGATTTAAGTACCTAGAAATATATAAAAGAATTAATTTTCTTTAAATGATCTAAAAAATTTCAACCGCAGTAGGTACGTCTCTATCTTTTCAGATTAACTTACACGAATCCTTTTTAACGGTAATCATAATTTTGTAACAATAAATATTACAAACAAGAATTAGTTATAAATTATATGACTTCTGTTCAGGCAGATGTTTTAAACCAGGTAAATCCATTTACAACAGCCATACCAGCCCTATACTTGTTTTGGTTCGCGAGCTCCCTGGCTAAAATATTAACAATTCTCAATATTTATTGTAACTCTTGTCACAATTTATCATTAAATCCTTGCTTTACGGTGCAGTTATTGATTTTGACATGGGAAAAAGTTGCCGTTGTGGGTTTTAGATGTTTTACTGTTGTACTAATGCCCACAGCGTACTTTAAGCGTCCATACTTTGCAAAGTATATTCATAATCTTTCACAATTTCTGACTTTCATATTACCCTAATTTTGCAAGCATAATGAATTATTGTTAAAAATGATTTTTAACATCGGCCCGACGTTTCGGATGCTTTTCAGTGACCGGCTGCTGCAAAGCATCCGAAACGTCGGGCCGAAGTTGAAAATCATTTCCAAATAAGTTTAACTAATATATCGCATTTTAAACCGTTAAAGTGTTTTATTTAAATGTGTACTACTCGCGTAAACTATAGACAGTAGACCTTATTTACTTATAATAATTATGAACGGGAAATAAAAGTATAATAAATAAAAATTTTAATAACCAACAATACTATGCGTGTAATATAATCGACCAAGATCAAATGTGTATGGTACCTTTGAGAGAAGCTAAGAACTCACGTGTGAAAAATAGAAGACACTAATTTTTGGGATGCAATCGGGGTTCGAATCCTCGACCTCATGATCAGTAACCGCTCTCTGCAAGATTTTAAAATGCTTTATTTAATTGTGTGATTATCCTAGCAAAATCCCTCTTTCTACTTTGCAAATACGAACTACATAACTTCCATCAACCAACATACCCAGGTCATGCCAATTTGCGCGGCAAAAGTTTTCGCATAGTTTTTGCTATCGCTCAGATTCGCATCGTACGTAATTATGGGGTGCTGTTATTCTTTTGATGGAGCCTTTTTGTCCGTTTTAATAAGACGTAATGATGAATGGTCGATAGTTACATTCAGGTAGCGCTTGGAATATGAGAATAAGGCTTTCAAGGGACCATGTCGAATTAAATTGAGTTCTCTTCGCAGGCTTTCATTACATGATTCTTGGTATATAATTGAGATATGTATACATAAGAATCCATGTGTCTTTTAAAGAAGGCCAAAAGATAAATGGTTGACGTTCCGATTAAACAAAGATTAAGATTTAAATAAAGGCTTATTTTATCATATTTAACAAATAGATGGAGAAAACATATTTCCGATGACATCTCTGAGCGACTTAATTACAATCAATTGGCTATTACAGTCAATTAGATCAAATCTCCGAGGCCGCCCGAGGAATATTTTTTTTTTTGTAGGATTCGAAACTAGGACCTAGCTACCTACTACCTAGCTGGCTACAAAGTTTGACAATTTTCAGCTTAATATACCTACACAAACGTAGAAACTTGTCTAGTAAGAATAATGGTATTAAACCAGATCCCGAATGCCTCTTCATATTATTTCTCAACGTGTTAACCCATCATCACTGTCAATCTTTGAGCCAAGCTATGCTGACAGTGTGTAATCACCTTAACTTGATCCCAAGGGAATATTAACTCTTTTTCCTGAACTTACAGTCGTTAATGCTAAAATAGATATGGGTTACAGATTTTGATTTCCTTATCTATACCTACCTATACCTACGTTTCAGCTTTACGTTAAAGAAATAATTCAGTTACAAAGCTATACTAGTAGTAAAAAGTTTTTATGTGTTAGTGTTATCTTTTTGTGTTGTATTGTATAGGCTAATGAGATATTAAAACAAAAAATATATTCCAAAGCACAGAACGCTATGGTCGTAGGTTTAAGTCCCGTTCAAGTCAATATACTACAGCTAAGTAATACTATAATAATTTCCAAATTGTTGCCAACATCGACTTTACTCGTATAGAGTCACGAACCATTACGTCGCTTGTATAATATTTAATGTAGCTTAAATAAATAGTAAGAAACCAAATATTTTTAAAATGACCTTCATGCACAGTGGCCTGGTTTAGTTTTATCGAAATATATTTGAATACGATTCAAACAAAATATCTACGACTCAGCAGCGAGTTTTTTACTAATTTTTCAAAATCTAAGATAATTGATAATTGATGTGCGATAGTAGAACTTGTTCACAACTAAACGTAACCAATCCTGATATATTTATAAATGTGATATATATGGCTAGTAGGAACCACAGTTCACAGATAGAAAAGCTGCGATTAAACGCGTATTGAGTGGTTTTACGTATATCTAAAGCGAAATGGATTAAAGGCGCAACCTATTAAAATGTTGTATAGCTGGGGTACTTTATCTTCCATCACGTGAGCCCAATGGTGGTCTATCCCCATCTGTCATAAACTACATATTAATGGGTTCAAATCTTATATTTCCATGTAACAAAACTTTGTAAGCAATTTGCTATGAAAACTGAGAAAATTGTGGCTTTCTTTAATACAGATTTATTTAAATAACGATGTAATTCGCAGTATATATTAAATGTAGAGTCGATATATACAAATTATTTTTCTTATTAAAATTTGATGATTTCTCGGAAGATTAGCGCAGACCAACCGCGCAGTAGGCTTTGGCGAGATTTGATCTAAATTGTTGAGTCATTAAAATATTTTGCGTTACCTCGATGCTTCTAAGAAATTATATATATAACTTTTAAGGAAAATATGGCCATAACCGGTAATCTATAATGTCTTTTTAATTATACATAGGTAGGATTTTGCTTTTATTGTTCGTCTTAACTTACTACATCGTTAAACTAGAAACAAGAAAAAAATCACAACATTTATATATATATACTATAGAATCTAAGTAATATATCAATTAATAGATGAAAAATTGTTTCATTATACACTTATCTATACTAATATATAAAGCTGAAGAGTTTGTTTGTTTGTTTGAACGCGCTAATCTCAGGAACTACGAGTTCGAATTGAAAAATTATTTTTGTGATGGTTAGACCATTTATCGAGAAAGGTTATAGGTTATAAAAGATCGCCCTGTAACTAATACAAGCGAAGATGCAGCGGGAAATATAAGAAAAATTGAAAAATTATTCATCATTATGGGTTACGGGAGCGTACGCTGCAAAAACGGTTCAAGATACCCAAAAATTATGTATGAAAGAATGATTCCTCTTTAAATGATCTAAAAAAGTCGCAACGCTATATGTCTATCTTTTGAGATTAACTTGCAATAACGACGAGAAAAGAAGCCACCGACGTCGTGGGTAACAGCTTAAGTTCATGAAGACAAAGGGTTTGAAAAACGAATTTGAATGCTCAAAATAATTATTTATGGCGGATGAAGTCGCTGGCACAGCAAGTTGTTAATAATGACAAAGCATTCAACAAATTCATAGGTTTAAAACCAAGTATCTTAATCAACAAAAATAATCTATGACATCCGGTTTAAATCGGTTTTATTTAAATGCTAAGAGCATTGAAATATAACTAAGGCCTAACGCTCTTGGAGCGTGAATAAACGATTCCATCGCTATTAAAACGGTTCTCGTTTCTGACGCTTTATGACGTATTTAACGTAAATTAAACGTGTTAAATATAAATCGAGAGCGATATAGCGTAAAAACTTGTTAAGCCGCAGCTAATGGGTGGCGATAAACGGTTTAGCTGTCCGCCTATCTCGTCTCTTGAGCCGGTAGGGAATAAAAAACAAACATACAAAATACAAATCCTTAGAAGTTTTAAGCTCAATCAAAGTTTTATCATGAGAAAATTACAATTTAACATCGTTTTTAAACACTGTATTTACGCGAGTAGTGCACTTTAAATAAGACACTTTTAACGGATTTATTTGAACGTCGTTCTTAAGTAAATTTTCGCAATAACTAGCTTAGTTATAATTATTTTATGTCCATCATATTATTATATCCTCAGTACAAAATCTCCAGAAACATAACGTATAGTTTAAGTATGATAAGATTGGTTAATTGCTAAACGCTTGATTTAAGTAAAAAAATTGAGGTCCAAGGTTGAAAAACCGGAAAACCATTTGATTGTTTACGTTTGATTTATGTTGGAATTCGCCTAAAAATCTTAATTAAATGGGAGGTTGGAATATAGAAATCCGTCAGGTCAGTACCATTCATCCTCCAGAGATGAAAAAGCTGTGAAGTTAAACCGTATCGGTTTAGACAGCGCATCTTGTTAGATTTTAAATATTGTCTATAGTTTACGCGAGTAGAGTATATTACACATTTAAATAAAACACCTTAACGGTTTAAAATGCGATATATTAGTTAAACTTATTTGAAAATGCTTTTTAACTGCGGCCCGACGTTTCGGATGCTTTGCAGCTTTAAAAAAAATTAAGATGTTAATTGGGGTATCATCTACCATCAAGTGAACCAAGTGTCTTGTCTGTCCTTTATCATAGGAAACTCAGCT